GTAAGTGGGGCTAACAGACTCCAAAAGGGGAAGAACCGATATTCCTATGCTTCTAGTCTTTACTAGTCTTCTGAAGTTTTGAATGGTCGATAAGTAAAAAATACAAGTTTAAATGGAGTTAAACTGCACCGTGTTTGTGACACGAAAAAGTGTACCAGAACTGCTTTTAATAAACCTTTTAGATTCTCTCCAGTATCCTATAATGATTGTACTAGCAGTCCTCTACAAATTCTTAGTACTACTAACATTCTCTTGGGAGTATAGCGGTGTCTAAGATGAGTCTCCAGCTTACGGATCATTATCACAGTTTGGTTTGTATGGTCCGATAAGAATATTCATGATGGAACAAGTTGTCATAATTTTTACTACTATTACAGGTCTCTAAACCATTTATGAACTGTAGTCAAGATATTTCCCGTTTTTATAAACCGTAAAATGCAAAGTTTAACTGTTAGACACAGTTTACATAGAAGCTGGTAAAGTGTAACTTTTTGCCTGTCTTATAAATCAGTGTAATTACATATTCAACTTTAATTACTGGTGCGTCTGTATTGGCAAGGTTTATATGTTATATTTTATGCAAGACTACGATTCCTATTAATATTTAGCAGCTAACTATATCATTAATTACTCTAAAATCTTTCCCCTACCATCTTTTTAATGGAGCTGTGAGAGTAGATGTATTAAAAATTGATGTATTGTAGATTTCAGAAATGTGTGTGACGCTTGAAAAAATGCCTGGCCTTATTCAATAGGCCAAGCATATCAGCTTCTTGTTTACTAAAAAGTATGGACCCTGCTAGAACTTAGAGTTCAGGAGGAAAAGTTAGAATCTGAATCCAGAACAATCCGTTCAGTTGTTAGAATGAGTTTTAACTTAATGTCCGTACTTCTGAGAGTTAAACATCACATACTTCTAATTTCAGGTTATTGAGGTAAGAACAGTACTTCCTCTCATTCTTATATTTTCCTCCCCTACTTTTGTACTAAATATCTAGTCAGAGGCCTGACAGCGAAATATGGTCTTTCTAGCAGCCTATTTCCATTTGACCTTTCACCGGATATTACTTTTGTTGATTTTTGAGACATCTCATTCTATTTGACATATTAATGTCTTTAAGACCATGTGCCTAATTGCTTTATAGCACTTTTACTCTATCACCTTTGTGAACAACACACAGTGAACATTAATATATTTTATCAGGTTCCAAACCATTACTTTTTCAAAATGGAAAAATTTGTCTTTTGGAAGTGTCTTTAGATGTGTTAAATAATACAAAAGAAGTGATAAAGCTGGAAGTAGAGAGAACATATGGATATATGCTCCTAAGAGTAGCGGTGCTCTCACACGAGGCAAGTGAGCAATCCAGCAGAAGTCTCTATATCCCTGCTTTATCCTCTCAGCCATGAGTGGGTAGCTTGAGGCCTTTTACGTTCAGCCATTCTCCTGAGTATGCTGATACTTGCTCCCTGTATCAAATGCTAAAACTATAAAACTTTAAAGAGCAAACAAGAGTTAGATGCTGTTTTCCCCCTTTAAAAAAGACCAATTTCAGAGAAATGAAAGGTATTCCTAATAAAAGTGTTTCAGCTATTAATGCAACTCCTTGCGCTCCTATATGATATACAGGGGTTGTTATGAATGATATATAGAGGGTATGTAGGGAGGTGGTTTTTAAAACATATGTGTCCAGTGATAAGGATATTAAAATAAAAAATGAATGATTCCATACGATAGTTTATTAAACATTGTGTTTTAGAACCCGAAATCATAACTGGGCTAAATTACAGCATTATTAGGTTCCTAGTATTTTTCGTTTGCCAATTGCTATTTTCGATTTTTTCATTTTGTTATTTAGTTACACTTTAATTATAAAATACCTCAGAAAAAATAGTGTGTGTAAAACAATATATAAAAATTGTATATTTAATTCCTGATGTGGCGCCACTGTGGGCTTAGAAAGCTAAGATGTTCTTAGTCAATATATCGTACATTTTATGCTTATATGAATTAGTGCACGTGAAAAATATTTATGTGTTTTTTCCATAGAGAGATAAAAGGAAAGCTTCCCTCGGCTTATTGGAAATAGATTTCAGAAAAGACAAAAATTGGAGGAAGACCAAATCTTGTTTTCTCCTAAATTATATAAATTATAATCATGTTTAATTATCTTGCAGAATACTGAGTCAACATTCTCTCTTTGAATCTGTTTCTGCTGCGGTCATTAACGTTTTGTATGTTGGATGTCAAATATTATTGATGGAATGTCACTTCAGTATTCTATATCTTCATCTTTATAGAGTTTTAAGATGCTCGGACTTAAAAGGCATTTTATGTACATTATTAGACAAAGGAAAATATTACCTAATTCTCTCCGTCAAAATTTGTCTGCATATGGGCTTCCCTGGTGGCGCAGTGGTTGAGAGTCCGCCTGCCGACGCAGGGGACGCGGGTTCGTTCCCCGGTCCGGGAAGATCCCACATGCCGCGCAGCGGCTGGGCCCGTGAGCCATGGCCGCTGAGCCTGCGCGTCCGGAGCCTGTGCTCCGCAACGGGAGAGGCCACAACAGTGAGAGGCCCGCGTACCGCCAAAAAAAAAAAAAAAAAAAATTTGTCTGCATATAATTGAATGCACTTCAAAGTACTTTTTGAAAATTAAGCAGAAGTGAAAGAATTTTTTTACATTTCAGTAGCATAGTCATGTGTCCTGAAATGAAATCATGGTACTGGTTCTTGTTGTCATTGTTGTCATTGGTTGAGGGAGGGGAGGGAGTAAGTTAAGCTGATGCAACTGTTACCAAGAGGCAGAGGGGCCTAGTGGTATTAGTATATGAGCTCTGGTGACAGACTGTGGTGGTTCCAACCCCAGATTTAGCACTTAACAGCTGAGTACGATTTATTTGTTTCCTCAGTTTTCTCAGCTGAAAGTGAGGTAAGTCATAATAATATGTACCTCATAGGATTCTTGCAAATAAAACAAGTGCCTGGAATATAATAATTGCTCCCTGTGTCCCTAATAGTGCCGTATTCAGAGTTACTGATTTATATCACCTCTCGTAATACCTCATTATTTCTGTAAAGGAGACCATAAACAATACAAAAATATTTTGCATTTTAATACATTTTTTGTAGGCTCTCCATGACTGTATGGTTACTTTCTTTGGGAGTCAGTCCCTTTGCTTTTCCTCCCACTTCCTCTTATAATTCATGAAGTAAGCAGATCCCTAAGAAGTGAAAGAACGTGAGACAGGAATTTATGGTAGGGAGCACCTTACTCAGACTCAACGAGATAAGAGATTTTTGAGATAAGAAGATGTTATCTGAGGTTGGAGGCAAGGAACAGTCCAAATAGAATAATGTCAACCCAGAACAGGAGCTCACGATATCTGCCTGGAGAACACTGCATATGAGGTTTGACAGGAATGTAGAATATATGAAAGGAGACCAGACTGTTGAATGCTTTAAATGTCAAGCTATGGTGTTTGTTTTGATCAGTATGGAACTTAGCAATGTTATAAGCTTGGGTTTCACATGACCAGAGATGTGCTTTAGGAAGAGTAATCTGAACGTGTACTGAATGAAGCATGCCTGAATGAAACTCAAGTGAGGTAGGATATTCTGGAGTTGGGAGAGACTGGAAGCAGAAGATGAGTCCTTGCAGGAGGTAGTATCTGACTTAAGTACAAGACAGCGAGTGGACAGCAAGGAATCCATACAAGAAGTGCTGTGAAGAGAAATACAGAACAAGACAACTGATGAATGCTGGGGGCAAAGAGGAAAATTAGGAAAAATCATAGCAACTGTAAAAGCCTGTGAAGAGAAATAGAGAGCACAAGAGGATGGGCTCAAGGGGGAAAACGGTGATGAATTCAGTATTATCCTACTTGCTGAATCCAAGAACGTAAATGTGCTTAGAGTCAGGAGACAACAAAACTGAAACTGTTTCTTCATTTAGTCTTTTTATTCAACTCCAGAATAGTAAAAGAAGTATTCCTGAGGTTGATAGAAAAGATGTTTTGAAGCTTTGGAAGAGTAGAATAACTATGGTTTAGTGCTTCTTATAAATTGTTTTTAGAGAACAAGAAAGGCCAAATTATCATCCTTATTCTTCATTTTGACAGTCCATATGTAACACTTCCCCGCACTGTGACTTTCACTCTTAGAGTGCCCTGAATGAAGCCTTTTGCCAAATTAGTGCATTTATTTTGCCTTAACTCTTTGCCTTTCTTCCCTTTCCTTTTTCATTCTCCTCTCTTACCTAAATTCTGCCTTTCCTTAAGGGCCTCATCCTATTTTTCCAGGAGGCTTTCCCAAGTAATTTTGCAGTCAGGACCTACATTCTGCTCCACATTTCTGAAGAGCTGGCTGCTTATATCATTATCTGGAACTAACGCAGTTGTGTGTGTGTGTGTGTGTTGTCACGCACATGTGTGCTTGCACATGTGCATACTCATTTTGCAATTATCTCTGGCTTAATGGCAGGTCGCTTAAGGACAAAGATTATGTTTTAGACATATTATAGTATGTGAAACCCCTAACACATTATACCATACAAAGTAAGCACTCAATAACCATATGATAATGATTATGAAGACTCAAATGGGAGGTGACAGTTAATGAGAAATGGTTTGACTTCATGAGGTAATCTCTCCAAAAGTACAATCCAGGATTCTCTTAGAACTCTGAAGAAGGGAGAAGAAGAGATTTTTAGGAAGAAGAGATAATGAAATAGAATGCTAGCTAAGAGATCTTTCTAAATATTGGCAGAGTGTGTTTGTGAACTTTTGTTTTTAATTATTTAGTTAATATGTATTTTATAATTGTCTAAAGTTATGTCAATGGCAAGTGACAGGGCTTCACCGCATTCGTGATTATCCTCCCAGACCTTGTTAAATTTTATTTATCTTGTTGAAGGTGAAATGAAAAAAAAAATTATTGCGATTAATACAGTATTAATCAGATGTATGTTCAAGAGCAGAAAGTAGGACAGATTAAAGTCA